CAACTTCTGAAAAGAAGGATGCAGCCCTTGACAAGAACAGTTGGACATGCTTTAAGGGCCAAAGTTAAATAGAACGGGATTCTGGGCGAGAGGGGGGGAGGGTGCATCAAACCAAAAGTTGTGTCGTGAGTTCTTGCCGGCCATTGCCTGCTGCACAAAAAACAACCGTTTGTTAGCAAGTGATCCCAAAAAAGTTAATTACAGGCCAAAGATCCAACCCAATAGCAGTCAAGACTACAGCAGTCACTCCGGGCTCAGGGAACACGGGCCAATCCTTCCAGCTGGAACACCACTTCGGGCATCTCTTCCTGAGAAAGGCGCGCCCCTGGGTGTTGTCATTGTCCATATTTCAACACTGGCCAACGTGGTCTTTGCTTTCTTCTTGGTCTGCGTTGTACGCTTTCAGCATCGGTCAACATGGCAGCTGTTGTTCCAACATCCAGACTTAAAGGCAGGCACTCGCGTTTCTGCCGAAGCTAGGGACCCTCCAAGGTCCAACGGGGTGATGTCACGTCCCCTCGGGCCACGGCCAAAAACCAGCCGTTGCCCTACTGGACATGGGAACTGGCATCTTTTGCTGGAAAACAAATAGCATCACCCATGTCCCTCCCAAATAAATGAACCAAAAACTAACCACTTGTATGGCCAAACCTTAGCCGCAGCCAATGGGTAGGTTGAGAGTCTTATTGCTCCATCCAGCGGCTTTGCTCGCCGCCCAACTAGTTGGAGCGGAGGAGCTGTCCGGTTTCTGGTTTGCCTTGTCCATCGTTCTGCTCTCTGAAGGTCCCTTTGACCAGCCTTTTACTCAAGCAGCCAGCATTGCAAGAATAGCCAGCTTGGCCAACAACCCAAACACATCCCGGAGCCTCATCAACAAACCAACAACCACTGGACAAGCCTGGGAAGCACTTCTGATGAATTGCCCGAATTACTTTCAAGCTCAACCACCCCCAAAACCACCCGATGGCCGACCGGCCGACGTGATCGGGGCAAAAGAAGATGGCGCAGTTCCCAACTGCGTCGAGGGGCATTGAGGTCCACATTGTGCTGCCAGGAGTTGCAGTCCTAGAGGCGGGCCGGTTCGGTCAGAAAGTGCCTCCCCAGTTGCACAGTTAAACAGAATTGGTACGCCTTTTGGGTTGATGAGTTGACTGTTTTTAGTCTCAAACAAAAAGAGAGAAGGGGGCCATTTAGGATTGAAACACACCTCTGGTTGATTCACGAAACGCGGGTGCTCTTCCCATTTTGGGCACACATCCAATCCGGGTTGACCCTTGGCTGCCGACCCGCTCCTGCAAGAGCATGTGCAGTGCCGCAGCCCCTGAAGCCTGGGACATGCCATCCTGGCGCAGTGAACCCCATGCGAGGCCTGGAGCCAAGGCCAGTTGAGTCACAGTCAAACCCCAGTGTTTTTCAATGGCCTACCCAGAACCATGTAAAAAATTCAGGCGCATATCCGAAGCTATTTATGGTGGGGATGTTCCCTTACTAACCTTCACTTACCCGGGTTTTGATTGTGGCTCAGGCTACATTTGTCACGTGGCGCTCGCGTCGTTATCAGAAAATAACAGGTCCAGAATGCGGCATCCAGAAATCATTTCGAACATGGTTCCTCTAGTTGTGAAACGAAAGGTGAACCCAGAAGTTTTTCCCCTGGGAGCCCTAAACTGAACAGAACGTTCAGCTTCAGCCAGGGCGTGTTTGGAAAGCGTAGAAAGGCACAAACAAAACATGGCGCAGCACTGGAATGACTTGAAAGCTGCCTGTTCGAGGGGCTCGCGGACAAGTCCGTAAGATCAATTCAGAACAGAACATCTTCTGCTGCGGACTTGCAAACAGGCTCTCTCCCTCTCTCCGTAAACAGTTGCTACAAGGGCCAAGATTTTTAGAACAGGGTACCTACAACAATGTTAACCTTTGCATAAGCCATCATAAGGAGTAAAGCTTGCAATTATTGCGCCCATTGTATTTCCATCGGACCAGAGCCCCCCAGAAACTGTTTGGCGTCCTGTCGGTTTCCCTTTCAACCACCCCCCAACAGAGGGCAACAACAATAACAACATTTGTTAAAACCAGGGAGCCCTTTTGGCAATGGCCTCTCAAGAAAGCTTCAAGGAACCCGAGATGCCCCCACCCCGGTCCCTGGCTCTGGCTGTAACTGGAGGATCCCTGAGGCAAAGTGGAGTGGATGGAGGCAGTGGCTGAGGTGTTTGGAGCGGAGTTCAGCGCAACCTTCAAGCATTCACTTTGCACATGATACAGAAATCGTGTCTCTGCAATTTGATTCCCCATTCTTTTCGGCCATCGTTCTTTTCAAAAACAAGCCACCTTGGTGGTTTTCTAGAAAGAAGGATCCGTGGAAAGAATGCGGAAGTTACCCCTAGAGTGTCATATATCAGACACTTTTCCCTGCCCCTGCGCCAAGCCCAGGTTTCTGCAGGCCTCCGAAAGCTGAGCGTCGGGGCTTGGGCTGCCTCCGCAAGCGCTGTGGTCATGAGACCAACGCGTGGGGAAAGCTTCTTGGCTGGACCGGAAACACAGCCTAGTCATGACCAACGGCAATGATCCAGTCCATGCACTGCCTTGAAATGCAACTTGAATAAAGATCGGCCTTTCTCAGTGCAGCAGATATGTTTCATCCAGAATGTTAATATCAAAGAGGCTTGATAAGAAGGGCCATGCCGCCGAACTACTTGCCACTTCAGGTGTTGCAAGCTATTCACGAGGTGGCATTGTGTAGATTGATCGACCTAGGCTTCGCGGGCTTCGACGTCTTGCCCACATGTGTATTCCAGCAAGGGCAGATGGAACATGCCCTTTTGAGGGCAAGTCTATCGAGGAAAGCTACATGAAACTCGACAGCAAGAATAAAACCCCGAACGATTTGGCTTGGCAGCCCTACGTGGCACTCTTCCTTGGGGTGTGTAGGAGATTTGCTGCCAAAGAGCGAACATGATTAGAATGGCAGTTCCAACTTAGAGTCCCTGGCGAGAAGCCATGCGCCAATCTTGGGCTGAATAAGCTACCCCTCCACCTGCTCAACATGGCCCATGACATTGAGCTGTCTGACCTCCCAACCGGACGCTGAGCTCCACACGTTTGGCATGCGTTTTGAAGGCCTTGAGCAACCTAGCACGGCTGACACGGAGACGAGCTAGCAAAGCATTCGCAAAAGGAGTCCTGAATCTATGCGAACCCGTGCTGCTCGTGTTGCTCAACTCTCAGACGAACTTTTGCTATAATCGGTCGAGGTACGTGGATTTGGCAAGCGCCCTGGCTAAAAACACAAATTTCAGCTTTGCATGGCTGACTGGCTGTCACCAGATGGCCGTGGGAATGCCCCGAGCGGAGTCAAGGCTTGGGGGGTGGGCCGGGGGGGGGGGTCAGGAGTGCTAGGGGCATCAATGGCAGGATCCTCGGTCGGGGTGGAATAAGCTGCTGTCAGTCGATGCGATCAAATCAATCTTACCTACGCAGAAACCGGCATCTGGTCCCAGTCAGGTGCTCCCTGACTTTGCGGGTACGAAGGCTGAACTAACGCATGCACAAATGATCCGATTTTGGCATGCATCGACCCAACCATGCACGAGTACCAACTTCAACTACCCCTTGAATTCAGTGCAACCCTGTTGCCAGGATCTGCAGTTGTGCGGCAACAGGCGGGATTGAAGTTCTTGGCCTGTGAGCTATTTGTAGAACGCTAGGGCATGCAAGCACGCTGTGTTGCATTCCCCACTCTCCTGCAAAGTTTGTCCAGCTGGGAAGCGCTAAGTCCCTGTTGACAGGTGTAATGCTGCAAACAACCGTATCATCAAGGCACGGATCACCATGAGAATCAAGCAATCGCCAATATTCACAGCAGTGACCGCGTGAGCGACCGTCCCAACTGAACACAGCCGTCCAACGTGCCTGTGCAAGACGCTTGACGGATCAATCCAGGCGGCGCCTGCCGGCACCCAGCTCAGCATCCAGGGGCACAGCCCCGGTATGGTGGACGCTTCGGTTCATGTTGCAAAGAGCCTTGAGCCTTTTTGCTTTCTGGGGGTTGAGTCTGCAAAAGCTCAAACCCTTCCCCCATTTCAACCCTACATGCCAAAGGGAAGCATGAGTTGGTTGTTGGCCATGTTCAACTGGCTCAACTTAAAAGACTGGACTTCCAGCAACTCAGCCCCTGTGCAACCTCCGGATTTTTGGGAGGTTCGTGCCGTGCCATCAGCGCAAGTTGGGGTCGTCCTGGCTCTGTGGAGCAACAACAAATAGGAGTCTTGAACTTCAATACAGGGACCCCCTGCCCATTGGACAAGAATGCGTTCACACACCTCAACCCACCTCTTGCAACGCTTACCTCATATCAAACCGCATGACCCCACCCAACTCAAAGACCCAATTTTGTTCTTGGAACCTTCCGGAACTCCCTCATCCCCCCTTCAACCGACTTGTTTGCCTCGGGCATGAGGAAACAACCCGCCTCGCCTGAGTTGCTCTCTTCAGCTTGCACCTCGGCTTCGTGACGCCAGCGTCCGTCACATGTCCCTGTGCACCGGAAATTGCCTCGCCCTAAAAGGATTCGCGAATAGATGTGGAAAGATAAGGCGTTGGCCCAAAGGATGAACACCTGCCAATCAAACCCACAAAGGTAGTACTTCAGGTCCCTATTTGACTTTATTTCGGGGCCCCTAAAATGAAGTCTTGTTGCCTGCCCCCCCCGCCCCCCGCCAAAACAAACACTCAAAAGGAAGCTCCAGCAATGATGGATCAAATGGAAACTCAAGTCCACCAACACTAAATCAAATGGAAAGTCCATTGGCCTCGACATCAAAATATTCTTCTAGCAGCCCCCTTGATTGATGGGGACTTATCATGCAAAAGCCGAGGTAAAAAGAACAGAGACATCAGGGGCAAAACAGAACGAGCAAAACAGAGACAACTCTATCCAGACCACTGCGCGCCGGTGCCTTTTCGCGAAGCAATATCCAATGATAATGCCTTATGTCTGTGACTCAGCACTTGTCGTTGCAGTCACATTTGTCATGTTCCTCAGGGCACTGTGCCCGCATATATTTGGTCTTCAGGGTCTTCTTGTCGAAACAGGTTCCAACCCGCTGGTTTGAGTTCTTGTGCATAAGCTTCATGCTGTTATCAGAGGAAAGGGTGCACTTGTTGAGCGTCACCCACTGACCGCAGTCAGAAAGATAGGTGCCACAATGCTCCGCGGGACTCTTCTCGCAGTCTTTCCGCTCCTGCCCTTCGAAGAACTCGCAGGAACATTCGTATGTTCGATCAGTACAATGCCTGAAGTCGTCGGCACCTTTTGCATTGAGACCTTGCTTCTCGTGATATTGATACTCTGTGTAGAAGAAGTCCGCAAACTTCGGATTGCCCAAGCCCAAGCCTCCGGGCGGCTCCAGCTCCCCCAAGTAGTGCAGCTGAAAATAAGTCGTCGTTCTCTCCTCTTTGAGGATCTCCCCTCCAAACTTCCACTTCCAGGTCTCATGGACGGTGATCGATGCATTGAACCACGGGGGCTCCTCCACGACACCGTCGATCAAGTTCACCTTGGCAAAAGCCTGGTTGTCCTTGGCGCAGATCTCCACTGGAGGATTCCATCGCTGGCAACAACAAAGGTGATCTCCCGCCTCCTCAGTCAAATTATGCGTTGGGCGCATGGCAGCTGACAAGGCAAGTGCACTGACCACCTGCAGAAGAGATACCATGATGCAGAGGGCAGAGAAATTGTCAGACTAGGTTGCTGAGAAAGATGCTGCGGGAGGAATGACTGGGCAAAAGGCGGATTACTTCACCTGCCATGATGTGATTTCAGCGGCACTGTCCGCACAGGAAGATTGCCTGTTCTCTTGTAAGGAGCGTAACATGCAAGTGCGCTTACTCTAAAAGATTTAAGTACGCAAGAAAAGGGAGCAAACACAACAGCAACAACAACCACGACGGTGGCGACAACGACAACAATGATGACCACGACCACAACGACAACCAGAACAAGAACACGTATTACAATAACACAATATTTGCACAACATAGAAATTGAATTTCCGTTCGTCCAATATTCTCCCCAGACCTCTTCGCTTGGGATTCTGCCTGCCGCTTTGCTTGGGCTTGAGGACAGGGGTGATGTTCAACCTCCCTGCAACTTGGAGAGTGCACCCCTGCGCTTTCATTCGGCACGCAAGTGTGAATCGCTTGCGACTACCGTGATCCTAGCATGAGATGTGGCCACTTCTTCTTTATCACCATTGCCCAAATACGAAAAGGTTGTTCCATGTTGTTTTTTGTGCCTCTCCCTATTGTAAGGGCGTGGCGTCTGCGTGATAAAACATGTTTGATGCAGCAGAATAACAGCAACGTCTGCTTCCATCAGCACGTGAGTCACGCAACAATTCCGGATGTTGGGGATCAAGCGGCGACAACAACCAATCTGCAAGTAACATTCAACTAGGATTAGAGTCGCCCATTGTGACTCCGGGACTCTCCCGAAGACTCCATCAGGATGGTCCAAGGCGCCATGAGTGTGGAGAGGTCCTGTTTCGCTTTCCGACACCTCTGCCACCTCGGACCAAAACTGAGCCGGATTGCAGAAGTCGATCTCTACAAAACCGCTGCTGGAATGTTGAAGCGCTGAAAGTCTGATAAACCAGAGTATGAAGCAACATGTCCTAAAAAACGTGGGCTCAAAGCTAACACACATTGACACGGCGTGACAAGCCCGCAACGCTGCTCTGAAAACACACGCAGCCACCATGTAACACACCTGGAAGGGGCTCAGCATAGCTAAGTTGCCCCGCTAAATGGGGATCCAGCTGGATAGAAGGAGGCAGCATTGGCCATACTGCCACTGAACAACTGAGACGGGCATATATGCGAGGCACCAGCCAATTTGTCCGAGCTGCTTTGCACAAATGAGCTCGAAGAGTGCTGCGATTTGCTTTTGGGGCCCTGGCGGCTAGGTGACAGCATCGGGCGAACGTCGTTTACACAGCAAGCCTTGCTACCGCGCTTCCTCATTGTGGCCAATGCTGGGCGTGGGGCACCGTTGAAGCAGCAACTCCTTTCTCACGATAAAAAACTAACAAAACAAACAAAAACATCAATCTCTACTGCTACCTCGGGTCAACATCAGGTCAACACATGCGACAAGACCCCATGAAAAGGATCTTGTCAGACACGGGAAAAGCAGGATGGCATGAGGGTCTGACAAGATCTCCAGGTTTTATCAAGAAGTTGGGTGGTCGCATGTTCCATGCTCTAAGGCCGAACACCTGGGGGCCCCATCCACTTCAGATTTGAGGAATCCTGGGGGCGGGGGGGGTTTCCGTGGCCTGGGCCATTTTGCAATTTGAACCCTTGAGCAATGTACACCAATATCCGAAACAAGGCGGTCGCAGTATGGACGTGGTGACCTTGCAAGGGACGGGGGGTAGCGGAAAGAGTCGACCCCCTTGGAGGCAGGGCCAAGCCAGAAAATGCGGGCGCAACTGCCGGTTTTCAGCGTAGTTTTGAGGGGGCCTGGAGTTGTGTAGACCAAATATGTCCTACCTTGCTGGAAACTTAGCCCAATCTGAGCCGACTGAAATGAACGGAAATCGCAATCCCAATTCCGCAGACAAGTAGGGAGACAAGCTGCATGGGGCAACAAGCACGGCGACAAGTGGAGAGAGAATGGGCTAAAAATCCGAGTTAACAGCCTTCCCCCCAAAACCAACATGGAACCTGAAAGGGCCGGGATTGCATGGCCCACTTTTCTCTGAAAGGGACCCTCTTTGGGTTCTCTCTCTCTCTCTGTCTCCAGCACCCTCGAGCAGGTCATAGCAGGTCTCGCTCGTGCCAGATCAGGGATGCCCCTCTTTGGGTTCCACGGCGCCGTTTGTTGGCGTGTGGCAACCTGCGCTTTTTCGCGCGCCTGTGATGAGCGTGGTGCCAGAGTCTGGGATCACCTGTGCCTTGTCCTGGAATGGAGCGAGCGAGCCACGTGGGTGCTGCGCCAATGTATTTCATTTCACCAAAAACGGAACAACGGAAAACACCATGCAAAAGCATAGCAAAGCTACATGTTGTGACAACACTAGCGGTTGGCTTCGCTTTCAGAATGGTAGAGGCTTCAACAGCAAGTGGGTGTATAGATTCAACGGGAGAAACGTGCCGCATCAAACCCTGCTACTGGCCACGTTGAAGGCAGGCTCCAGGTCTGTGATTTCAGGAAGGCTGGACTCGGAAGAACTGCACACACATGCAATGTGTTTCCAAGTTATGGGCAACAGACACAACCTGAAGAGCTACCCATAGGGAGACTCCTGCCAAAGCTGCCTTCACACCAGCCTGCTCTAGACAAGTCCTTTTTGCAGGTATCGTCCCCCCTCTCCCCTCCAACAAACAGCAAAGAAACAAACAGCAAAGCATGCGTGCGTCTGGGCAACGTGTAACGGCAGAATGTGGCAAAACAATCCAGCCCGGACAGGGCGGAAATTGCAAAAATGTGCACCTGGATGCCGGGACTCAGCATCTAACTGCCCGATCCGGGCAGCATACCCATACTTCACACACCGAAACTCTTTGGGATGTCGCAATCCACGATGAGGAACAGCAAAAGGTAAGCTGGCACCAGGGTTGGACCAACCACTCGGCGAAACATACTTCAACAGTTCAACCTGCTTTTGGTTTCTCTTGACAGGGGGCCAGGGCCTGGCTGTTTCACCATAACTTGCCCCAAAACTTCGCGTCCTGCAAGGAGACCGCATGCCCAGCCACACTCACGTTGCGCAGGTTCAGCGCCCAGTGCTCCCGGGAGGTGCTCGCCAGAGATTTCAAATGACTGGGCCCGCCCAGGCCCAGGACGCCTCGGACGGATCACGTGGGTTTGGGGTGAAGTGTAACTAGGTCCTCCAGTAGAGAGCTTAGAATAAGGGTACCAACTTGTTTCTGTAGTCTATTTGAGTGGGGGAACCCGGCACTACTGGGGCAAGGTAAAATCGGGAGTTGGTTTATTGGAGTGCAAAAGACAAGCCTGGCACCTCCCCTTGAAGACATCTTTCTTCAACAGCTTGAACCATAGCCTTGGCCATGCCAGCCTTGCGAGTGCAATTGGTTCCCCCGAAGGCAGCAAGTAGAATCCCCAAAGCCTGCAAAAGTTTGGCAAACGCGCAGACACACCCACATGTGGCTAAGTCATGCCAGGCGTGAAACACTACAGCCGCTTTCAACTTGCAAGGTGGGATTCCATCACAATCATTCTTCCTGGTGACGGTGAAACGCCTAATCTCTCAACAACTTGCACATGGAGAGCCCTTGCAAGACCCTCAGACTGTCAAATGCGGATGGCCGACCGTTCATTTGGAGTCCTCCACCATTGCCCCTTCACACACACACACAAACACTCGACCCAAAGCCGGCCCCTCACCTCGCCCATGGAAGACTCCCGAATTTTGGGGTCTGGCGGCCCGGAACGCCCACTCCGCAGGACCCCATGTAACAATCCTATCTTGAGCAGCAACACATGCCGCATAATTATGCTTTGCTTGGAAAGGATCACAAAAAAGCACACCACGTACCTGTGTCAGCCAATGGTTGGCTGCGATGCGCGTGAATTCGAGCGCTGTGGATCATACAATCAAGATACGGCGCTGGTGAGGCGAGCTGCCTGTCCCATGACTGTTCAATACAAAACTGGTGTTGGAAAAAAACAAACGCTGTTCGAACGCTGTTCAAGCAAGCACGTAAACTTACCCTTTACCCTCTACCGTCTGATTTTGTGCCGTGGCTCCATCAGACAAGGCGTTGAAGCACAGGGAGAACCGGTGTACTTTCGCCTGTTCCAGGAACGTGGTGAGCTCCGTCTGCCTGCGGATCTGCGGATCTGCGGATCGGCTCGGCATGAGAATTCGATCTACCCCAAACCAAGGTGGTCCCCCTTGTCCCCTATAAGAATTGGAATACCACAAAGAGAAAGCCTACACATTTCACAAAATCTAGCGGACCACCCTTCCCCTGCCTGGGGAAAACCTGTGGTTAGGCCCGGTATGCCGTCCCCCCTCTTTCACTGCATTTTCTGCGGTGGGGTGGATGCATGCGTGGAAAGGCCAGCAACGACGAGTCAAGCCAAGTTTTCCCTGCACGCGGTAGGCGCTTCGTTTCAGGTGTCAAAGCATTTGAGTTCAAAATGAACGGAAAGTGCGAAACCCCAGACCACCAATTCACATCGCTGTTTCAGAATCAACATGTACTGTAAGCCACTGTAAGTGGGGACTGGGGGGGGTCAGGTGAAAGGTTGAACAACTCAACTTTGTTGGACAACGTGTGCGAGTTGATTCCGTATGCCTTTGCTGGCGATTCGACATGCACGCAATACACGTCGGCAGCATGAAGGATGAGCAGTCTTGAGGCTTGAGCCCTTGGAGTCAGCATGCAGTTCGGCACCCCAAAAAGTGTCTTCGTAATTTGGCTTTAGACACATCCCAGATTCCAAAGGTCGACCATTCGACACATGGTGCCAATTTGATCCAATTTGTTGGGGTATGGAGCCCTCCAGGGTCAAAAAGGGCGTTCTTTGCCTTCCCTGAGTCTTCTTGGCACGCAATGTCGACCTCGCTCGGATGAATCAACCTTGCAGATTGCGGATTCATAGGGGTTTTCCGCCAACAGAGAGGGTTGCCCTCTCAAATGAGAACCCCCACATGCCTCAAGCAGGGTGCTCTTAATACCGGCT